TATAGTCATTTATATATACATATATTTGCCCACAGCCAAATCCACTGACAAGTACTGGCAGGCAGTGGGTTTGGCTGCAGAATATTCTCAATTAGATTTTTAAGATGAGTGAAACAAAAGAAAAGGAATGCCCTCCTTGCCCCTCTCCTTTTGCCTCCTGCTTCAGGGAGGAAGTTTTATTTATTTATTTTATTTTATTTTATTTTATTTATATCCCACCTATCTAGCCAGCTCAGGACCACTCTAGGCGGCTAATATATAATAATAAGTGAAACAGCATATCTGTGTTATCATAATATAATTGTAAAAAAATTCCTCTGGCCCTCCATGAAGGAGCAGAGGAAGTGTTTAATTTGCCAGTATCCTGAAGTGGCTGTCTTCTTAAACTGCTTCGAGCTATCCAAGCAGAAGAAGCTTGGTTAGCTGAAGACTTACTTTGGTTCATTTCCAGCTATTGTGCAGAGCAGAAAGAAACCAAATTGGAGTAATCCTACCTATGCCAAAAAAGTAGAAGCCTGTGACAGGAACCCAGAAATGTGTGGGTAGGAATGCCCTGGAGGCGGGCTGTTTCGTTCCAGTCATTACATCATGTGATAGCTGTAGAAAGGAGTGAACCAACCTGTCCCCACAGTGGATTAAACAGCAGGTTAAATGCCTGTATGGTTGCATCCTTAGATCCGGCTGAGGTAAACAAAATCATGCTGCATCCATATTCCTTTTTTGAGTGTGTGTGTGTGTGTGTGTGTGTGTGTGTGTGTGTCGACATCACTATTCAAGTCATTCTCGAATGAAATTTAGTATCTAGCTCAGGGATCTGGGATCTCTGGCCTACAAGCCAAGTTGAGGATAGATCAATTTGCTGGAAATTTCCATCTATATGTTCCATTTGATCCATTGTCATACACCTACTCCTTCCATATTCCAGGTTGCGGCTGAGTCACCTTAACTTCTTCCTCAGTTTTGTCATTAGGGAAGTGAAGAGAAACAGCTGATTTCTGATTCAGAAGCAGAAATGTTGGCTTGAATTTGGTAATTATTGATTATCAGTTCAATGGCCAGACCCTTACTGGCCATTGAACTGTGTACCAGTGTGAATCCAGCAAGATAAATCTCAACAGTGAATTGCTGCTTGGCAAAAGGTTGGCATTTGTAATTTTTGTTGCACACCGGTTGCATGACTTGGCACATGACAAGAAATGCATGCTTCCACCCTTAACAGTGCCAATTCACAAATAAAATTTACATCACAGGGCTCACACTAGCATAAGTACCTTATTTTTCCATGTATAAAATAACACTTTTTCCTAAAATCATTAGAGGAAAAATTGAGGGTCATCTTATACATGGAAGGAGGTGGAGGCAAAGGAGCAGCCGCGCTAAGCTGCATCTCACGGCTGCCCATTGACTGCTGCCGCTGCCACCAGACTGCCTCCTCCAGCGCCACTTGCAGGCTCCCTTCAGGTAGGGGACAAGGTGGTGATATGAGCTGGAGATGAGCCCCGGCAGTGGTGCTGGAGGAGGCTATTGGATGGTGGCAGCATCAGGAGGTGGAGGCAGAGGAGCAGCCATGCTGGGCCGCTCCTCATGGCTACCCATTGACTGCTCCTCCACCTCTGGCAAGGGTCAAAATTAGGGGTTGCCTTCTACATTGGGGGTCATATACACAGAAAAATGTGGTAATAAAACTAGTATGGCAATATTACCTGTATGAATGGATAAAATTTTTGTTTTATTTAATTTTGGACAAGATTATTCCAGAGTTCACAATGTTTTTCCTTATTTGGAATGAAAAGAATTAGATATTCTTTTAAAAAACACCCCCTGTAGTGTAGTAGAACTTGAAACTGAATGTGCAGAGTGTTCAGCTCTTTAAGACTTGGATATAAATTCCTGTGTATTTAACTATAGGTGCAACTGGACAAGGCAGTTTTTGTGAGTTGGATTGGCTTCAAAAAGGTTGTTTGTCTGGGTGCAATCTATCTTCTATAGCATTTGAATAGATCTTTCTGTGCACACATAGGACTTTTCCTTATCCCAGAAGAAGAAACCACATCACACCTCAGATCAGCAATCACAAAGAGTGATTAAGCAATCACTGTTTGCTTAACTTTCTCTTTGTTTTTAATATCACACTCTGCTCCACCTCTTCCCTGCCATTACTGCATGGTGTGTGTGTGAACTACTGCTGAATTAACACCCCCAACCTCCTGCACAAGTAAAGTTTGGATGGTATTCCTGTCAGAATGAGGGAGCAGGATAGGGGGAGCATTGTAATTACATTTGTTCAAGAGAACCATCATCACTTTTTATCCGATAAATATTTCATCAGTAGCTCTGTGGTCAGATTTGTGGTAAGAGAGAGATGTTTGTAGATTTTAACTTAACCATGCTTGTAAAGCTACATGCTTGGAATGAAGATGCTCTGGTCATGCCATGTTCTGCAACTGGAATTTTTGTTTTTTTAAAAAATATTTGTGTTGACTACACTAGTCCGTGTAAAGTACATACACAGTGGATTTCGTGTTACTCTTTCTGCATATTTTGAAACATCCTTTCGAAAGCTGTGACATTGCTGTCTAGTTTAAATGGGTGAAAAAAAATTCAAAGTTAATAAAGTCATTGAACCAATTAGCAAGTATTAATCATCAATTTTAGTAGGCTGAGTCCCAACAGATTTCTGTCAAGTTTTCTAGGTCAGCAGTTTTTGTATGTGTGACAGGGAAGAGGAATGGCTGGCTATGAAGGAGAAATATCAATTATGCCTGCAAAGCACAATGGTCATGTGATCTGTATTTATTTATAAATGTTCTAAGGGTCTCCCTATTTGTATTCTTTATTTTCTCTCATGTGGTACCATGGAACCCGGTAGCGGCATATAGACTATAAGAATTATAAAGATACATGCATAAATTACTGATGGGAGTGAGAATTATATTAATAGGAAAAGGCTAACAATATAAAGGTTAATCTTAGTTAACGTCCTCCCCATATGCATATTATCTGTCCTAATCATAGTCACTAGAGGGAAATGTGATAGTGCTTTAGAAAGATATTCAGGCTTTTGCAAATTTGCAAAGGGAGGTAGTATTTTGGGGCATTTGGTCACTGATGATAACACTTTCCTATATCATTTCAGTTCATGAGGTTTTTTTTTTGAAATATCAGACAGTAGGGTCTTCCAATTGGCACACAACGCTCCTAATTCTGTGCTGCTGCCAGAGAAATCCCTGTGCCAACACTGTGTCATCCATTCTATCAACAGCAGTATTACATACGGTCTAGGAAGAGCCATTGTCGCTGTAGGCAAGAACCTTACAATTTGATCCACATAAGAAAGGGGATCAAACTCTTTGAGCTAGTAATAGCTTTATGGACTCAGAAAACATTTAGAGATCTGGGGCACTTTAAACAAAATACAAGACTCCCTGCTGGGACAGCCTAGGCTAGATGTGTCTCCTATTCTGCCAACAGCCACAAGTCTTTTTATTCAGACAGTCCTTGGGTGTCTAAACGGGGCTGTTGTTTCCTTTTATTGATGTGTTTTCCATTGTCATTAGCCTTTTATTATGTTTCAGTTGCTTCAATGTGTATGTGTGTTTTCTTACTCACATTGGCCTAAGCCTGGTGGCCGATTCCAATTGCAGTATACCCATTGAGTGGTGAGGCAACATTTAGATAAACCCATGGATTAAATGGTTCTACCATAGTTTGGTTCACAATTTCTATTCAGGTCATAGCTATTTTATTTTAAACATTGATCATCTTTTAAAAAAGTAAAGCAGAAAGGCACATTATAAATTTCATGAATGAATGAAGGAACACAAAATCCATGTGTGTTCTAAAGTATCATTCATAATTTCTTTCTCTTCTTTGCCCTGGAAGCTCTTGAGCTGATTCCATCTCTTATATATTTTAGATCAGTGTCTCCGTGTTGTGCCAGCTTCTAAAATGTAAAGTGACCACTTCTCTTGATATAACAGAAAGCTGAAGCAATGCTATGCAATTTTTGCAAATAATTTTGCTGTTATAAAAATATGTCATATGCAAAATGAGTGGACCTCTAGGCTTTTTGGAGGCATATTTGGATTATTGATGGGGATTTATTTTATTAATTAGTTTAAATCAAAATCAGGCTTTTCTTTTTAAAAAAAAGTTTAATTGTGTATGAAAGGGTAATTGAAGGGGTTTTCATTAACGACAAAAAAGTCATCTTGTTCAGTTCCATGAGTTGGATGTTACCCTTCAGTGGTTGACTTTGGTCTTTAAAACTACATCACATTTTCTGAATGCACATCAGAGGTTGCTATTTAATTTAACTAACTGGGAGAGGGTGATACATGAGGGAAATGTGGAAATACATGTCTCTCTTGTATGTTTTAATTTCATGTATATTTTTAACTGATATGATTGATCTGGAATTAAGAGAAGAAAAAAGAAAAATATCAAAGATCTTGAAAAGTGTATAAATACACTGTGATACTGCATAAATATCAGATTCTTTTGCCATCCCCAAAACTCACAGTAGCTGAGCAGTTAAGAAGCTAAGTAAAATCTTGGAACTTAGGGTGGAAATATTTTTGTAAGTGTACTCTGAGGCTTCATTAGTCCTTTTAAATGATCTTTTTAGACGGTTGGGTCTAAAAGCTTTGGTAACAATGATTAAGATTTCAAAAAAGAAAAAAAGAAAAAGAAAAAACAACCCTAAGTCCTTATTTCAATTGTTTTAGTCTATGTATATTGATCTTTGTTGTCATGTTTTATTAAAATTATTTCTGTACAGTTTTATAAAAACAGAAAAAAAATGACTCAAGAGTTATTTCTTTATAAGTGGTTATGTTAGTACAATATCAAAAGTAAACCCAGCTGGTTTACTCTTCAGATGGACTGTAGACATAAGACAAGAACTGCCAAAATACAGAATTATAACTTGATGACAATGAAGAAAGGCTCATATGGAACAAGAATAGACTAATTCTTCTCTTCCTCAATTTTATTTTAAGATCCAGACTTCAAGGACCTTGGTGTTTTGAAACCATTGCCAGGTTGGTATGTTCAATACTCCTTAACAGCCAGAAGTCTTTGTACCTTATCTGATAACTTCCTGTTCTTGCTCAGGGTTTGATCTTTTTGTTTTGTTATGTTGTTGTTACTCAGTTTGTGAGTTTGAGATGGGAGGATCTGAAGGAATTGTGGAATCTGTGCAAATTGGGAAAGAAGGGAAAGCTTCTGATGCTGAGGCAGTTGATTGTAAGTGGTACATCCGAGCACCACCACGTTCCAAGGTCAGTCCTGTTCCATTCTCTGATCTGGTGACTTAAGAAAGTGACTTTACTAATACCGCATTCATTACTTTTATATGGACAGGCTTTTCTTAATAAGGTTTGCCGTGCTGAACCTGTAAATGATTATTTTCCATTCTACAAGTGGAAAGCAATTTGTCACAGCGAAGAGTAGCTAGCCTTCCCTTGCTATAAATAATGTTTTTGGCTGCGTAATGGGTAGGTTGTTTTGAACTACAGGAATGTTTCCTGTGTGGTCCTTTCTACTGTACAGCACAAGAAATGTACAGTTGTCATAAATTCTTGCAGGGAAATCAGATATGATAATTTCAAGTGGCACATCTATTTTGGGACTGCCCTAGCTTTGTAAACATTTTTTTTTACTGAGACAATAGTGTGTTCCTGTTATTACTGTTAGCATTAGCATTAGCAGTTGCCTTAATATTATCATCTGCATTACTATTTGCATACATAAAGCATGACACCATTCATGCACTTCACATTTATAAACTCATTAATAAGCTAACTCATTTATTTAACCCTTACAACAGTCTTATAAATTACAGTAGTTGGATTAAGACATGCTTGGATCCTATGCTAGTAGATCATATAATTATCTCCAAAATGTGCATTACTCTAATATAATCTAGAATACATTTTTGTAAACATTGTAATCAGTGCAGCCTTGTGCATCTTTGTTCAGACATGAGTCCTATTGTGTTCAATGGGACTTCAGTTTTTTTCAATCTAAGCATGAAACAAACACTGACATTAAAATTTCGTGATTACATTAGGCACAACACCTGTTATTAGTATGGTTTTTAATTTGAATCAGTTTTCATGCTGGTCTCATAATAACATACTGGCATCCAGGCTGGCTCTATTGTTAGAGTAAGGCAGTCATCTTAGACAATATGGTTGGAAGCAAGCCAGGTGCTGGAAGACAGAGAACCAAGCTACCCTGTTACTTTCAGGTGTGGTGGAGTATCCGATCCCATTACTTGTCAAAAAAAGATTCAGTTGCCTGCTCATTCTCTTTTGTGTGAAACAGAAGAGGTAGCCATCTTGTTCTGAAAGGACGATTATCTTGGATGAGGTTTTTTTTGCTTTCAGGAAGGTGAAATCTATCTGGAATACATTAAAGCTCAATTCACTTTGACCTTTTTGTTATGATTCCTTTGGTGAGCTTCTGCAATGAATAAATAACATAAACCATACTATGAATAGAGGAGATTATATGGGTACTGATTTTTAGCTACTCTCATTTGTGTGGAAGGGGAGTAGGCACATAGAGTAGCCAGATGAAGAATAAAGGTCCCTTGTATCTTTAAGAGTTGCAGAGAGGAAAGAATTGCAGCAGATGTAGATTGCCTTACAAAATACATTTTATGAAATTATTTCTTAAATACAAATATTGTGCAGGAGAATGTCCTGTATTTCACTTGGCCACTATAGAGCTAGGTGATGGTGGACAGCTTTGGGGTAGAATATTATAGCAAGACTACACAGGTGGACATAACGAGGGTCTGTCCCTCTGGGGCTGGACTTTCCACTCACCCTTCCGCTCCTGCTGAAAGCTCCACACTCCCTTCCTGTCGCTCTGGAGCACTCAGTTGGTGAGCCCCTCTTCGACCTGACAGGCTCATTGTCCCGCCTCCTGCCAGGAGTGGCTAGTCGACCATGAGCTCTGGAGTAGGAAGGGAGCATGGAGCCCACAGCAGCAGTGGGTGAGTGGACAGTCCGGCCCTGAGGGGGGGCAGACCCTTGCTATGTCCACCTGTGTGGAGGTATTCATATTCGTATACAAATATGAATACCCCAATCTCTGAGCAGGACCCTCACTACAAAGAAATATGTTTTTAAAATCTAATAACATGAAGATTCAAGTTCATAATTGTGGCGTTCACCCTCGTGCCCCTTTCTTAACTGTCAAGACTCAGAGCCCACGAAGGCAAACAATCCCCTCTTTTACACTGCTGCCACCAGGTGATCACTAAATCACCATTACTTCTGGAAGATAAAGATTCAGGTCCACACTTCAAAGTCTTTTAAATATAACTTTTGTTTATTGATTACAGAAACTGATAGTGATTCATTAATATCTTCTTTAGATAAATTTATTATTAACAACAGTCTTCTATTTGATAATACACTCCTAACTCTAATCACCTCTCAGATTTCCCCAAACTCCACACTCTATCTCTTTCTCCACTCATGAATATGCATGAACAATTTGACTCTCTCTCGCTCTCTGACTGGCTCCCCTTACAGACCCTCAGGCTCCACCTCTTAAAAGATCTCTCTCGGCTCCGCCTCTTATAACATCCGCTTGCAACATGAATATGCATGAACAATTAACATAATAAAGGGGGACACTACAATAATATTATCTGTATTGATTTTGGTATATTCTAGCATAAGGATATTTTTGTGCTAGGCGTAGTTTTGCTATGTGATTGAATTGTTTCACTTGTGGATTATAATGTAATTGTTTTAATTTTGCTTGAGAGGTTAAAATTTATTTTTTGCAAAAGAAAATCTTTAACATTGCTAGCATACCATATGATTATATGACTATTTCAGAATCAGCTTTTGTTTCCCTGTCTGGAGATGGTGGAAAGAGAGGTAAAATCCATATCATTGAACAAGTGGGTTCCAAACATTAATAACTCTCTAGTCTCCTGAGTCCTTTTTCATCTTTCAAGAATGTCTATCATTTAATTTTCTTCCTTTCCCTCTACTCTTTAACCCTATATCCTTGCTAAAGTGATTTCCTCACTTCTTTCTCTTGGCATAAAAAAAGGGAATTGTTTTTTTTCTACCCCTGTCCCATCCCAGTTATTTTTATATTATATTTATTGGGACAGAACTATAGCTTTTGCTTCCACTTCCTTCACAGCTTAATGGCTCAAGGATGCTGTTTCCAGAAGGAAATGGTGAGCAAGAAAACGGACTTTATTTAACAATGTTCTTGTTCAACTGTCTGGCAGCCACTTTTCCTTTTGCATGTATGCTGGGCTTTTTCTCCACACTGGTGGAAGGAGACTGGAGGGGGAAAAACATGGATGCACCTTCTTCCTGCCCATTGCTTCTCAAATAGAACTGTGTGTCCCCTAGAGCTGCTTTGCAAAGTCAACATGGCAGACAGGGTTTTCCATACATATCTTCGCTATCTGCTTCTTATTTGCCTGGGGTTTCTATGCCCCAGTTTAAGACTCTGTAACCCACTTCAGGACTCCTAAAAGAAGTAAGGGAGCTCTACCAAAGGATATTTATTTATTTATTTAATTTATATACCACCCATCTGGCAGCCAAGGCCACTCTGGGTGGTTTTCAACAAATAAAATAAAACAACAAAGTAACAAAATAGCAAATAACAACATCCATACATGGGGCGAAAAAAAATCATAAAGTGCAGTGAGGATAAAATTACAATACAATAAATACAATTAAAAGTGTAGAAAAATATAAAAACATGGAGCATGGCAGCATGATAAAAGTTATATTATTGGACACTGTTGTATCAGAGTGTAGTTTGTTCAGGGAAGGCCTGTCTAAATAGCCAGGTTTTTAGTAGCTTTTTGAATGTGCCCAGTGAAGGAACCGGGTGGACTTCGGGTGGAAGCGAGTTCCATAATTGTGGCACTGATTTCTAGTGGTTGTTTGCCGGGCCTCTCTCAGGGTCAGAACTCACAACTGCCCTGCCTGTGACGATCTTATAGGGCAGGGAGATCTAACTGGAAGGAGACACTTGGCAAAATATCAAGGTCCCAAACTGTTTAGGGCCTTACAGGTTAGTACCATCACCTTGAAACTGGTACGGAAGTGCAAGGTGGCCAGGGTGGGGGCAGATATGTTGGTATTTTCTAACCCCACTCAGAAGTCTGATTGCCGCACTCTGGACTCATTGCAGTCTCCACAGCAGTTCCAAGGGCAGCCCCACATAGAGGGCATTACAGTAGTCTAATCTTGAGACTACCAGTGTGGTGTCAAGGTAGGGACATACATAGCTGGGCAATCCGCTTTAGGTGGAAATAAGCGGATTGGACCACAGACGCTATCTGAGGTGTCATTGATAGGGATGAGTCCAAAAGCATGCCCAACCTATGAACTTCATCTTTCATGGAAAGAGTGCCCCCCGAAAAGATAGGGAGGCACCCAGACCACAGACACTAGGGGCCCCCAGCCTCAGGATTTCTGTCTTGTCCATGTTCAGCCTCAATCTGTTGTCCCTCATCCATCCCAGCACTGCATCCAGGCAGCGCTCAAGGGACAGAGCGCTGCAGAAGGATGGAAGGAGAGATAGAGTTGAGTATCATCCACATATTGGTGACACAAAGCTCCAAAACTCTTGATGACTTCCCCCAGCGGCCTCATACAGATATTAAATAGCATTGGGGAGATGATTGACCCCAGCGGGACTCCACAATTGAGAGTCCACTGAGCGGAAAACATCTCCCCAAGCTAGGACAGGGTTGTGTGTTTTCCTTGTTCATTCACTGTGTAGCTGGAATCCAGAAGCCCACTGATCCCACAGAGTCAAGTAGAGATGGAAGCACAAAACAGTGTAACTTTAATTTAAAGCCTTGAACACAACACATTGAAGACTATTGCATCTCTTCTAACTTTTCCCATAACTTTCCCAGCTGCTCGCTTTGACTTTATACTCAAGTCCCCATTCTCTCACTCTCTCTCAAGCATCTTTGACCTCAGTGGATACACTTCCAAGCTTTGTGCTGCAAATGTGGAGGTCTGAAGAGAGATTATGAGCACCTTCATCTAATTTCCGTTAAAGGGCTTCATGAAGTCCTGATGGCTTCTAAGCATCTTCAGCTGAAAGCTCTTAGAAAGAATATCTCTTTAGACATTTGTGCTCAGGGCACACAAATTAGTTGCAGAAAATGTGGGCTAATATACACTGGGCACATGAGGGAGAGAATCAATATGTCTCCACCTAACCTGGAGAGACACCTGCCAGCTAAAATTGGGAAAGCCTCCCCATC